TTTGTGAGTGGATCAGACAGTGGGCGTGGTTGTCAGGGATGGGTTCCAGATTTCTGGTTTCTGGCTTGATTATGGTGTCTTCGTGGCCTTTCTTGTTCACTGCACCAGCCTCATCTCCTGGGCTCTGCAGCAGCTTCCTAACCAGACGCATGCTCCTGACCCCACTAGCCGCATCCTCAAAACTGCAGAGCGAGCTCATACAGCGTGAGGTTTTGTGAACCTAAATCAGATCCTGTACATCTTCAGCCTAATACAGTCCCACATTTTCCTATTGCATTCAGAATGAGGTTCTACATCTTTGTCTTTCCGTGGTGGCCATCAGGGCTGTTCACCATCAGCCTGGTCTCCCTTCTCCTCAGAACATGGTAGGGCTGCCCTTCCCTGACTGGCAGGCAGGCTGAGCCATGGGACTTAGGGTCAATGAAATGCAGGGGGAGGTGATATGTGTCACTTCAAGGTCAAAGACTTCAGAGACAAAGCATGATTCTCCTTGTTACTCCTCAGTGAACTTAAGGAGTGAGCATGAAAATAACCTTTACTATTCAAAACCGCTGAACCATGGGGACTGTTTGTTACTGCCACCTAACCTAGGATTTCCTGACTGATACACATAGATTTCAAGCCAACAAGACCTTGCCTTCTTAACTCTCTGACCTCATCTCCAACTACCCTCCCTCCTGCTCCATGTCCATGCCCAGCTCAGTCCCAATTTGTGGCCTTTGCATCTGCTGTTCCCTCTCCTTTGCAAGTTCATCTCTTACCTTGTTGAGTGACCAGCTCCCTACATCAGCAGCCCAAATGTTCCCTCCTTAGAGATGCCTTCCTAGGAGAGGTATCTATACACCCTGCGGCATACCAACACCACTCAGAGAAAACTAATCTATGAGAATCATTAGAAACTTAGAAAAGAGAAGCACAACATGTTTGCTATAATTTAGTCCTAGGCTTCCCGATACTCTTGTTTGATCATTATCTAGAATTATCTGGTCAAACTGTTCATTCTTTTATTATCTGTCTTCCCCCCAAAAGATGAAGATGGTATGAATGTCACCTAGTTGGTTCTCACTCTCTTTCTGGGAAAAATAAACTCTGCATGTGTTGAATGAAAAAATGGGAAAACCTGAAGGAAGAGAAGACTGAAGAGACAAGATAAGGCATGTGGTTTCACGAGGCTCCCATAGGACAGCTGGGCAGCTGTCACATGAAGAAGGTGGTTGGATGTGCAGGTTTGGATGGGGTGAAATGTGTGAGTCACTGGCCTACTAACAGTATTTGAAGCAGACCAGTCGCAGTGGCTCACGCCTGTAATCCCAGCACTTTGGGAGGCTGAGGCGGGTGGATCATGAGGTCAGGAGTTCAAGACCAACCTGGCCAAGATGGTGAAACCCTGTCTCTACTAAAAATACAAAAAAATTAGCCAGGCATGGTGGTGAGAGCCTGCAATCTCAACTACTCAGGAGGCTGACGCAGAGAATTGCTTGAACCCAGGAGGCGGAGGTTGCAGTGAGGCAAGATCATGCCACTGCACTCCAGCCTGGGCAACAGAGCAAGACTCTGTCCCAAAAAAGAAAAAAAAAGAAAAAGAAAGAAAGCTTGAAAACAAATGAGATCGGCTGGGCGCAGCGGCTCACGCCTGTAATCCCAGCAGTTTGGGAGGCCAAGGCCGGCGGATTATGTGAGGTCAGGAGTTCAAGACCAGCCTGACCAACATGATGAAACCCTGTCTCTACTAAAAATTGAAAATTAGTCTCGTGTGGTGGTGCATGCCTGTAATCCCGTCTACTAGGGAGGCTGAGGCAGAAGGATTGCTTTAACCTGGGAGCTGGAGGTTGCAGTGAGCTGAGATCATGCCATTGCATTCCAGAAAATAAATGAGATCAACCAGTACACAAGGATGGAGAAGGCTTTTTTTTTTTTTTTGAGATGGAATCTTGCTCTGTCGCACAGGCTGGAATGCAGTGGCACAATCCTGGCTCACTGCAACCTCCTCCTGCTGAGATAAAGCAATTCTCCTGCCTCAGCCTCCCCAGTAGCTGGGATTACAGGCATGTGCAACCACGCCTGGCTAATTTTTGTGTATTTAGTAGAGATGGGCTTTCAACATATTGGTCAGGCTGGTCTTGAACTTCTGACCTCAAGTGATTCACCCACCTTGGCCTCCCAAAGTGCTAGGGTTACAGGTGTGAGCCACTGTGTCTGGTCTGAGAAGCCTCTTTTTTAGTTAGGCTTCTCCAGAGAGATAGAGCGGGTAGGAATTTAGAGAGCAGTTTAGAGATATGTGGGAAAGGGATTTCTTAGGGAATTAGCTTACTCAATCACGGAGGCTGAGAAGTCCCTCAACAGGCTGTCTGCAAGCTGGAGAACAAGGGAAGCTGCAGCCTTCACACCAAGGAAGCCAGCAGGGTCCCTCTCAGTGTCTCCCCTCTGAGGCTGAAGGCCTGAGAGCCTGGGGACCTGCTGGAGCCAGTCCCAGAGTCCAAAGGCTGGTGAACCTGAAATTCTGAGATCCAAGGACGAGAGAAGATGGGTGGTGTCCCAGCTCTGGAAGACAGAGACTCAGAATGAGTCCTTCCTCTGCCTCTTTGTTCCTTCTGGGCCCTGACTGATTGGATGATGCCTGCCTGCCCCGAAGGCAGAAGTTTTCTATTCGATCCACCGACTCAAGCTTGATCTCCTCTGGAAACAGCCTCGCAGACACCCCTGAGGCCGCCCAGTCACTCTAGCCAAATGCCAAACCACCTGGGAAGCAGAGGAATGGGTTCAATGCCTCCTGAAGCGCTGAGATTGATGCTTTGCCGGCTGTCTGATAGATCTCTTAATGCAGTCACATTGACGCCACGGATCAGCCTTCACAAGTATTTCTCTCTTAGTCATTTTTGTGCTGCTGTAACAGAAAACCATAGGCTGGGTAATATATAAGGAACACACATTTGTTTCTCACAGTTCTGGAGACTGGGGAGTGGAAGATCAGGGCAGCAGCAGGTCTGGTCATCTGGTGAAGGCTGCCTCCTCTGGAGGGAGGGAGGGACACTGTCCTCACCTGGCAGAAGGCAGGAGGGTAAGAAGGCTGAACGCAGAGGGAAGCCTCTTCTGTGAAGTCCTAAGTCGCACTCAGGAGGGAGGAATTTTGTGCCTTCATTACCTCTTGTTTTTTTTTGAGATGGAGTCTCATACTGTTGTCCAGAGTACAGTGGCACTATCTCGGCTCACTGCAACCTCCGCCTCCCGGGTTCTAGTGATTGTCCTGCCTCAGCCTCCTGAGTAGCTGGGATTACAGGTGCCCACCACCAAACCCAACTAATTTTTGTATTTTTAGTAGAGATAGGGTTTCACTATGTTGGCCAGGCTGGTCTTGAACTCCTGACCTCAAGTGATCCACCAGCCTCAACTTCACAAAGTGCTGGGATTACATGTGTCAGCCTCTGTGCCCAGCCCTTCCTCACCTCTTAAAGACCCTATGTCTCAATACCCTTTTGGTGTAAGTCTGCCTTTTAGGAACAGAAAACGGCTACGCTTTTTGAAAACCTGATTTGTCTTCCTTTCTAACTATGGGATTTACACAACTCTCTTTCACTCATTCTTGCCTTGCGGTTTCACACTTTCTCTCTTTGGGGCCTCACTGTTGTTCTCTTCATTTCCTATCTTTTAGAATGAAGAATATAATATTTAATATATAATATTGTTCATATTGATGTTAATATTATATTAATATTAAGTATACCATATTTATATGAATTTTCTCTTGTATTTGAAGGAAGGGACACTCAGTTCTTAGTCTTTAATGTTTGGTTTACAAAGTTGTGTGTATACCTATGGTTTAACTGTCAGAGTTTAGAAGAAGCAAATAGGAATTTTGGCGATGCCTTATCCACGGAAAGAACCGCCATCCTCTCTCTCCTTCATACCCTGATTTTTGTTAATTTGCTGTGATAAATCAACAGTGTTGTTATAATACCACTTTTTTCTTTCTTCTTGTAGGAATATTCTTTTGTAAAAATAGATCAAGGCCTTTACCACTCAGATTAGAAACAGGACTTCCGATGATGACTTGTTCTTCTCCGTGAAACTCTCATTAGAGGCCAGTGGATTTCTTCCTGGCCTGTGGACTTTCTTCCTGTTTTTTAGGTTCCTGGAGGTAGCAGCACGCTTGTGAATTTGTTTCGCACGCTCTCCTTCTTTTCTGTATTCTTTCCGTAATGTCATGGACACTCTTAATGGGACGTTTTGGGGCTTACCAGGAACAGCTAGGATGTCAACACATTGACCTCAAGGGCAGAAGCTTGTTTTCAGTGAGATCATAAAATTGTGATCTTCAAAGAGCGTCCTGCTCCTGGGAGCTTCCTGGGGACATGATTGCAGGCACCATCTTTGGAGTCCAGAAGACTTACTTGCTTTATACACTCTGGGCCTGAGTTGCTTCTTCTGCAAAACAGGGACTCACAGAACCCTTGTGAGAAAGGCGTGATTATCCATGAGAAGTGTCTGTGAGGCAGGCACCGGAGGCCAGCAGACAGCAAGGGCTTGCAACTGACCTTGCCGAGTTGTGGTCTACCCAAGATCGTTTGACTTGTGTGCATTCTAAATTGTCCCATGAGATTGCTGTAACGTTTACTTGGGGTGGGTCGGGGATGCTGGAGGAGGTTTCTGGACCAATTTCTTCTTTCTCCCCAACCTTATGAGGATGCTGTGGGTTCTGCGCTCCCTCTAGTGGTAAAACTGAACACCTTGACTGTGAGAGCCGCGTTGCTCAGGGCTGAGATGGTTGTGTTCACGGTGTGGGGTCCTCTCTTTGTTCTCCTGCCCTGGCTAGGGATGCAGTCTGCACCCTCCACTCTTGGAGATTCTGAAGAATGCAGAAACACTTTGGAGAATGTTCTGATCACGGAATTTGTTAGGACAGAGTCCTACAAGAACGAATTTGAGGATTTTACGCATCTGCATATATCTTTGACCTTAAAACCCTATTAATTTTTCATTGCCCTTTTCCACACTAATTATACTTATCTTTGCAAGGGTATTATACTTCCTTCCAACAGGATTTCTTACTCCCTCGAGTGATTTTGATAATCTTCATAATCCTGTTAAAAATAGCCATAATTCGTTCAAGTATATGAAAGTTGAGTACAAAATTAGTTTGGCTGGTTGACTCACTGCATTTTAAACCCAAGGATGTGGGAAGGATGTCTTAATACAGCCATGTAAGTTTTAAAGGTGGGGTTTAACTTAAACAAAGAATTCTGCTTTGAATGTGCCTGAGCAAGTGTTGTGTCTAATTTAAGTTTTCTAAAGCCATGATAGAATTTCTGTTGGTGTTATTAGGTTTTAGAAGTTCAGTTAAATATTCCGTCTTTTTGTCTCAGTGATGTTTGTGAGGACAAAATAATTAAGATTGTGTCTCTTTTCATGGAATCAACCTGGATGTCCATCAATGGTGGACTGGATGAAGAAAATGTGGTACATATACACCATGGAATACTATGCGGCCACAAAAGAGTGAAATTATGTCCTTTATGGATGCGGCTGGAGGCCATTATCCTGAATGAAGTAGTGCAGAAACAAAGAAGCAAATGTCACATCTTCTCAGTTATAACCGGGCGCTAACGCTTGGTGCACACAAGTGTAAAGATGGGGACAGTAGGCACTGGGGACTCTGAAAAGAGGGAAGGAGGAAAAAAGGGAGGGAGGGAGGAGGTAGAAAGGGCTGAAAACTTTCTGTTTCTACTGTGCTCACTATGTGGGTGATGGAATCAATAGAAGCCCAAACATCAGCATCACACAATATACCCTCAAAACAAACCTGCACATGAACCCCTCAATCTAAAATTTAAAAAAAAATTAAAAGGCTATGTTTTTGAAGATATTTCCCACCTGCATCTGAAAGAAGAATAAACTACACAACTTTGAATCATACTAAGGAAGTAATAGGATCTTAGAGGTGAACCAGAGATCTCAGAGGTCCTCGTCCACACACCTCCTGATGCAGAGATTCTTTCCATAGCATCCCTGAGAGAGGGCGGGCCAACCTCAACCAGATCCATCAGGATGCTTTTGTTTGCAAGATGCAAAATGAGACCAAACCAAACCATGTGACTTTTCAGTGATGGGAGCTCACTGACAGCGTCTCCATGTTTACACTGGAGTATGAGAGGGGACTGGCCGAGAAGCCAGTGTAGCAGCCAGCTGTTCGGGTTGCTAGGATCCCAGGCCATATCTCCCTGGGTCCCAGGAGAGCAAGCTTCCCTCTTTCCCCAGCCCACCCCCTTTCCAGGTCATAATGCTAATGATAAGAACAGGTGCAACAACATGGGTGTAAAGCCCCTTGATTTCTTTTTTAAGCAACTCAGGTTTTACTAGAGTCCACAGGTGGAGCACAGACCCATAGACTGGAGAAGCTGTGGAGACCACAGGCTCAGACTGCCCTTTTCTGGCGAAGTCATTTTCTTCTTCATAATATTCCTGCTATAGCACAAACTCCCCCTGGGCCCTCCCCACTGGTTTCCCCTAGACACAGCTCACTCAGCACCCCCACAGTCTGAATGGATGATTATCCCTTTGTGTGTGGTTTTTCTCAATTCTGACTTTGCTCTCATAAAGGCGGAGGCCTTGGCCAGGACGAAGGGGTTTGGGGATGGGTGGGGAGTGAGGCAGCCATGCTCATGAGCAGGTGTCTTCTGTCCCTGCTGAGGCTCCCTCGACTGCTCCAAAGAATTCAGACCTGCCTGTTTTCTCTCTCTCACTCCAAAACACTGGTTTCTCTCTCTTCAAAGTCTGCCTGAGCTGCAACTTTTTCCCAAAATTTAACAATTTAATTACTTGATGCCTTCCTTTTTTTTGTTTTAGATGGAGTCTCACTGTCACCCTGTCTGGAGTGCAATGGTGCAATCTCAGTTCACTGCCCTCTGCCTCCCAGGTTCAAGCGATTCTCTTGCCTCAGCCTCCCGACTACAGTAGCTGGGATTACAGGTGCCCGCCCCCACACCCGGCTAATGTTTTGTACTTTCAGTAGGGACAGGGTTTCACCATGTTGGGTAGGCTGGTCTCGGACTGCTGACCTCGTGATCTGCATGACTTGGCCTCCCAAAGTGCTGGGATTACAGTTGCGAGCCAGCGGGCCTGGCTTGCCTTTCTTTTTGTAAGCATTTATTTTAGGTTCAGGCGTACACGTGCAGGTTTGTTACAAAGCTAAATTCCTGTCGAGAGGTCCATCGTACAGATTATTTTAACACCAGGAATTAAGCCCAGTCCCCAGCGGTGGTCTTCTCTGCTCCTCTCCCTTGCCCGACCCTCCACCCTCGAGTAGGCCCCAGTGTCTGTTGTGTTCATGAGTTCTTTGTGTTCCTGAGTTCTCATCCTTTAGCTCCAGGACGTCTTTCATTCTTTCTTCCAATCAACCCTCCCGGTGGGAAGCCCAGAGACCACGAGCTTCGGGCGCTGTGGTCAGGCAGGCCTGTGCCCCCAGGGGCCCCTCTGTGCCTCCATTGGCCGGGGTTTTTATGGCAGCTGGGGCTGGCCAGCTCTTCCATCACGTGGGTGCCCACAGGAAAACTGGGAATGGAGTGTGCTGCTTATACAAGCGCTAGGGAGCTAGCCACAAACGTATACCGTATCGCCCCCTTCTAGAAAATTTCCAGCCATGAGACCCTCACCACCTTAGAAGGTGCCTGCTTCATGGTTGGCTGGCTTTCGTTGGCACAGGCCTGGGAACCAGGCTTCCTATGTTCAAATCCCAGTTCTACCAGTTGGCAGCCCATGATATTGGGCAAGTTTCCTGACTGCATTGGGCTCCGCTGCCTCCTGTGGAAGGTAGAAATTCTCATCGTTCCACCACAGCATTGCTGTGAGAATCGGCGGGAGGACACGCAGAAGGCACCTGACGCGTTGCACCTGCACAGCAACTGCAGCCTCTGCTCCCGTTTACCCCCAGCGTTCCTCCTTCTGGCCTTCAGCCATCAATTCTATTCCTATCACATGGAGGCCACGGAGTCCGCCTACCCTTGCGTCTGTGTTTGTGGCATTTGGGCCAGCTCTCACTGCTTCACAAAGAATCGCCCTTGATTCTTCCCCAGGCCAAATTGCCGGCTCCTCCAACTTCTCCTGAGTTGGCCTCCCTGCCTCGTACTTCCCTTTCTCACTTCCGTGACCCCACCTCTCCCTTCCCTGCTGTCCCCCCACCACACACACAGCACGCCCTGCCCATCCTGTGCACTGACTTTTCCATCCTGGGCCCTCTCAGTCTGGCATGAGATGTCCTCTCCCCACTGCCTCCATCATCTCCCTGAATGACACCTGCTTTCCTCAGTGCCTGATTTAGGTAATGCTTCCTCCAGGAAAGCCGAATATCTTAAGACTAGTGAGGGCTAGGGCCTCCTCACCCCACTCCCTTCCGGCTTGCCTCTCTCTTTGTTAGACGCTTCCTGAGCCATGAATCAACTCTGTCTGTTGGTCACTCTTCCCAGAGTGTAAGCCCCTGGAGGGCAGGAGGCTGTCTTCCTCAGCTCCACCCTTCTGTTGTCTAGAAGAGAGCCTAGCATACAGGACAAGCTCAGTAGAGATTTGCAGAATGAATGAAGGAAGGAAGGAGCCAGCCCTGATGCACTAGGTGTGGGCTGACGAATGCAGAGAAAGCAGGAATGCCCCCGGCTTTGCTAGCTCTGCTTGGCAGGAAATGAGGACAGAGCAGTACTCAGGTGTGCTGTTGGCTGAAAGCTCGCGGTGTGCACACATGCAGTTCCTGCTGCACGCATTCATAGAGGGCAGACGGATCTTTCTCAAATGCTTGCCGCTTGCCATTCTCATTGTGTGTAACATTAAAGGGGGGAAGGAAATTTGCAAAAATGAGAGTGACAATTGGTGCTGATCATGTTTTCTACTCTGCAAACCTCATCTGTAAACACGTCGGGTGGGTTGTAAGCTTGAAAAACGGTTCAAGAAAGAATCTCAGGGAGGTTTCAGGAAGGGCTTTTAAAAGACAGCATCTGGTCCTAGGAAATATACATAGACAAATGGGATGGCTAAGTAGAACAAAGAGAATGAGAGTGAAAGTGTGAATCAAGGGCACGGACGTTTGAAAGTGGCAAAGAAATGTAATTAAAACCATCCTATATAGGAGCAGTATCAACAACATTCTCCCAGGCAAATACGCACAGACCCTCTCTCCCTCACACACACACGTACAGGATCACACACACACACACACACACACACACACACACACACACAGAGAAAAGATGCAAGATAACTACTATGATATAATTGACTAATAATGAGGATTATTTTTACAGCCTGTAATGAAATAATATCACAGCACAGACTCATAATTCTTCTTCCTCCCTGAATCTCACTTGTTTAACTAGAACAGAAGTAGGAAGAAAAAAGGATCCCTCCATTCATCCTTCGGAGAACAGCTAATAATTGGGAAAAGCTGCCTGAATATTATACAGGCAGATGTGAGTCAGCCCATATGTTTCCATCCTCAGGGATCAAAGAATTCTAGGTTTGTCTGTGAGGAGGGAGGGATGGAAATGAGAAGGGTCTTTTAAAACTAAATGAAACTGTGAGGAGATACTGTCTCTTCTGGATTAAAAAAACATACTTTTTTCAGACTGGCATGGTGGCTCATACCTGTAATCCCAGCACTTTGGGAGAATGAGGTGGGTGGATCATTTGAAGTCAGGAGTTCCAGACCAGCCTAGCCAACATGGTAAAATCCCCATCACTGCTAAAAATACAAAATTAGCTCAGTGTGGTGGTGGGTGCCTGTAGTCCCAGCTACTCAGGAGGCTGAGGCAGGAGAATCACTTGAACCCAGGAGGTAGAGTTTGCAGTGAGCTGAGATCACGCCACTGCACTCCAGCCTGGGCAACAGAAAGAAACTGTCAAAAAAAAAAATAAAAACTTATTTTTTTCAACTTGCCTTTTTGGGGGATTCATTAGAGTCTACATTGGGGCTTCCCTAAAGAAAACTGGGAGAGAGCTGCAGAAATACACTATAGAGAAGTCCGAAA